ATCTGGTGGGATATGAAGGGTGTACTCTATTACGAACTTTTGGAAACAGGACAAACAGTTACTGCAGAACGCTGTAGTCGACAATTGAATAAATTGAACGAAGTACTTGATGAGAAACGGCCATTTACTGGGCAAGGCAGCCGGAAAGTCATGCTGTTCCATGATAACGCGCGACCTCATGTGGCTCGCGCGACTCAGAAAACCATTTTAAGCTTGGGCTGGGAGGTTGTCCTGCACGCGGCATATTCACCGGATTAGGCGCCTTAGGATTATCAGCTTTTTCGGATTATCATCTTTTTCGGTCCATGTAGTACGCCTTGGAGGATAGCCACTTCCAAACTCTGGTCGATATACAAAAACGAGCGATCACTTTGCTTCGTTTTTGTGTTTCGTTCGTCTGCTTCATCGATGACTTCATTCCCTCAAAGCCTACAAGTTTCTTTTGCAATGGTATTCGTATGTTACCCAATCGATGGGGGAAGGTCATCGAAAACGATGGACGATATTTCCAGGATTGATCTAGTATTTATATATTTTATGATATAAAATTTTTTTTGACAAAAAAGGACCAAAATTAAGTTATACACCTACTAAAACGAAAATAAAATGAAAAGTGAATTTGAGCAAAATTGGGTGGTTTTACTGAAGGTAAACCCTCTACTAAAATTATTTATTCAACTCTCTTGGACGTGGTAAGCGCCAAGGGAAGTATAAACGTGTCCTACTGACTGCGGCAAAAATTTCTACTGTTATGCCCAAAGACGTTATCCAGCGTCGGAGGATAAGGTTTTGGTTAATCTCCGTGATCTTAATAGAAATTATCAATAGAAGGTTTAAACCTCCTATCTCTTTCATTTTTAATTATAAAGGACGATGCTTGTTTCTTCATACTTACCGTTGCTCGTTGTTGAGAGTTTCAATTTTTAATGGAGACAATGAGGAATTATTTTTAAGGAATCTTGGAAGATAGACGGAGAAAAATAATTTATTTCAAACGGAAAGATTTGCTCTCAGTTTTTCCTTGTACAGGGTGACAAATGGGAATAGGTGAAAACTTTTCCGCTATATTACTTTCTCCACTTTGTCACCAGGGATCGGGCTGTTCTAGGTTAAAACTTGGAGCCTGGCAAATTCTGTTGGCACACTCCGGGCTCTAGTTCATATTTCCCAAAATGAGTGAGCTTACTGTCAAAGAAAAAGTGTATCTCATTGACTGCTATTATTCCCGAGGAAAAAATTAGACAAATGCGTATAGAGGTTTTCATAGTAAGTTCGGTAGTCACAGAATCGGGAGTGAAACCACTCTCAAACGGTAGGAATTTTTTAGTTCTCCTGTACGATTATTTTTTTGAGGTTAGTCTCCAATGATTTTTTTGAATCAATGTGTTCTTTTTTGTAGGATGATTGATAATTTTGTTAACTATGGTATCCTACAGGATCATCGCCATGATCTTCCGTGTCCATCTTATACAGTAACAATGGAAGAACTAGTGGACAAGGTGGAAAAACATTTAAAAAATCATCGAACTGATTCAATAGGCAAGGCGACTGGGAAGTTAGAATTGAACCAAGAGAGCCTACGCTTGATAATTAAATATTTCCTGAAACTTCATCCTTATAAAATCACTTCCCACCAATTGCTTACGCAAGCTGCTGTGGGGAAACGACTTGAATTCAGCAGTTTTAACGCAAATGTTTGAAAATGCTGAAATCGAAGCCAATCGAATTTTTTCCACGGATGAAGTTCATTTCTACCTTGATGGCTACGTGAATAAACAAAATTACCGATTTTAGGGGAGTGAAAATCGACATTCGTCAGTAGCAAAACCGCTCCACCCTACTAAAGTTACAATTTGGGCAGATCTGTCGATCAAATAAATACATGTGGAAATCTTGGAAGGGACCATCACAGGGGAGAGTTACCGAGAGATGTTGGAAATAAATTTTTCCCATTCGCTAAGAAAAAAGGATTGGTGAAAGATTTATATTCTATGCAAGACGGTGCAACACCTCATCGAACTAATGATGTGTTTGCTGCATTGCACAAAGTATCCGGTGATCGCGTCATCGGCTTAGGGTATCCCCGCTTCGCCCGAGCAAGGATGAAATGGCCACCATACTCACCGAATTTGAACCCGTGTGATTTCTTCTTGTGGGGTTATCTTAAACACTTCTGTTACGGGGACAATCCTCAGACAAAAGAGGCTCTGATAAGCGCTATCCAGAAGGGCGTTTTTAGTATTTCTCGAGCTAAAATTGAAGAAGTCTTCCATAGTTTTCAGAAACGCCTTGACTATTGCGCAAATTCTAATGAAAGACACTTCGAGAGTATTTACCATTAGTCATATGTCCTCGAATGCGTTTGATCAATTCTGTAACCGTGTGAATTTTTATTTTAAAGAAATGAAATACAACCCTAACTAATTGCAAATAAATTTGCAAAGTCTATTGTGTCTACAAACATGATGGTCCTTCCTTTCCTACATCAATCAACAAAACTATGATAGTTTAATTTTCACCTATTCTCATTTGTCACCCTGTATATTATAATCAAATTCGAAATGATTTAACAATTTATTACAAAATTTTGATTCTTATTTAGTGAAGAATATGGTGTCAGACTGTTGAATTTTGTTTACGCGGTTTTTGAGCTACAATTGATTTTTCGTTCCCCTTTTCCTACTGGATGAGATCCTACATGAATTATCTTGGTATTTGTACTCACTTTTGGCAGATCTTCATTCAGGTTGATTTACGTGTACTTCTACTAGAATTTATATGACGTTTATTTTGTCCATACACTCCGAATTATAGCTTATACTGGGCACTAAAATAATCTATTTTATTACACACAGTTTTGTGAATTCTTGAGTCCTTTTTTCCACAAGGTTCACACAAGCGCGGGAATTTTTACAATCCGTATACTTCGCGTGCTACGAACGATTGGAAGTAGACTTTCTCCCACCACTTGACATTTCAATTATTTTCTTTGGGGCAAAAGCACTTCAATTAACAGTGAACTTAAAAATGACTTCTGAGTTCTAAGCCAATGACAGTACCACTGGTAAATGCATCAAAATTTGAGCAACTTTCCCGATGTCGTTTCTGACAAACTTTGATTTCGGTTTTTCAGAATCCACCGAAAAACTCGGCCTGTCGGTTTATGCTACGCGAGAGAAGTTCCAAATTTACCAAAGGCTGGCTGTCGACTGGTGAAAGTTTCGCTCGAATTTTGGTACGTGGATGTCTGTCAGTTTTCATATGTTCAATTTTCCTTGGTTATTGCAAATTGTCATTGCAGGTATGTCTCAATAATTCGAAATTAGGTTATTGTTGTCGAAATTTGTTTAAAACGAGGATTTTTCAATATGGGTAATCTGGTTGACCCATGTTCTCTTTTATGCTCATGACTGAGGTAAAATTTGCTGACTTGGAATTTTTGTTATTGCATTCTGCACTAAGAAGCCCTCATTTCGAACGAGTATTGTGGTTTTTGTAACTTGTTTTCTTTATAGATTTCTGGAATAAATTAGGACGTTACATCTCTTCGAAATTTTTGAAAAAATGTGTGCAATAACAATTACGAATCAGTTTTTTGAAATTCGACTCCTACACAGCTAATTTCGTTTTGTTTAATATAGAAATTTGAGCCATCCATGTGAAATGGGCAGAAAAATTATCCTTAAGATATTTAAAATATATTCTCGATTCTTTCAGAAATATTTCTCGAGCTATTTTACATGAATGGTGTAATTTTTTATTAAAATAATAAAGAAATGATCTGCGTAGGAGGTGAGTTAAAAAACAAATTCATAATTATGGCACATATTTTTCCAAAAATTTTCGAAAAGAAAACCTGTTTAGCCCAGAATTTGGATGCCCCGGACGATTTTTAACATTTGAAGCGTTTGCGGAGTAAACAAACAATAAAAAATTAGTTTCTTTGCACTAATTATTGCATCTAATCTATCAGAAATCGCATTCCAATAGCCCGCAACTTTTAAAACTCATAGTAGTCTCCCCATAAATGAAATAATAAAAATAAAAATATAGCAGAGGAGAGTTTTAAACTTGGATAGCCAGGTTGGTTGGCTGACGCGCTGCCACTCGACTAAAGCGTCATTTCGAAAACTAAGTGTTGGGAATTTATACATATGTTATGCCCATATCTTTCGGGCAAAATTTCTCCCTTATTGTTGGGTATCTGCCCCGAGGTGTTTGGTGAGAAAGTAAGGGGAGAAGGCTAAGAGTGTTGTAAATCATTGCATATTGATGGAGTTTGATTTTTAGAGGTTCCAAGGTCTTTGTTGGCAATTCTGTGGCTTTATTCCCCTTTCCGACCGGTATCCGACTGGTGCCTCTCGTTGAGACAAACTCGCTCATATACTAATATTAATTTTCATTTTCATTTCAATTTAGTCTTGTTATCTCAACTATTTACCGATTTTCTCTCAATCTGCTATCCCGTCGTCTAATCACAATCGAACTATTTGCAGTCATCAGTATTGAAAAAGAATACATACTCTTGTGCAAATATTCATGTAAATATTCATGTTTCGTAACGTCCTTCAAAGTCTAATGTCTGGAATGCTCCACACTCGCCATATCCCTTATACCACCCCTATTATAAAGTTTTCTTGTTAATCAACGATCGCGATAAACTTCACAATGAAAAACCGTCGTACTGCACTGGGGATTTTTCTTTTTTTGCAATAAAGTTTTCGCAATATATCCGATAATTTTTTAGACCTCCAGGAATTACCAGTAAGAATCCGAATATATATATCATATATCAACCTATTGATGAATACCAACAAAACTAATCAATTGATGAATAATAATAAATTCATAACGGCAATCGTCGGAAATGAAAATAATTGTGAACAGATTAACTGCACTTCCTGTGTTTCAAATTCTGATTTTTATGCACAATGTATAACAATAACATTAACTGAGAATGTACTTCAACTTCTTAATGACAATGAGATTATAGGAATTACCTCTAAAGTAGTTGGATAGTTTGCCATAAGTAACTTGAGCCGGGTCAGCAGAAATTTTCGAACATTAGTCTCTACAACTGTATCAAGCGCACAATCTCGATGCTTCAAATCGAGGACCTTCGCAGACTCTAACCAATGTTCCAGTTCGAACTTCCTCATACTGAAGACCCTCAAGAATGCCAGCAGTTCGTCGGAAACTGGTTCACCACTGTTATTAAGGATGAACGATACGTTTGTAGTTGAAAACTGTAATTTTTCCAGCAGTTTCATCCTATCTTGGAACAATGGATCAGATTTGCTGATACCCAAACGTAATTTAAACCCATCGTTCCTGTTATCTGAGTAAACAAATCCGGAGTGGACAAAAAAATCGGAATTTGTTCGAGGTCCATAATTAATGAATATCTGCTCTTCATGCTTGAATTCCCGTTTTACGTAGCACTCACACATATCCGAGTTGATATTAAAATCAGTCGTGATCTGAATATAAATGCAATTGTGGAATTAGTGATCCTGCCTCATTGGTTGGATTTGATGAAATGAAATTAAGAGGGTAATTACCACTCCTTCTTCATGGTTGCACATGTCCCACATGGGAATAAGTGCGTGGATCATCTCCCCACTGTTTTTACTGGGAATGATATTTTGACGTGTCATGACTGTAGAAACTGCCCAACTGTAACAAGGAAAATAGAAGCATCAATTCAAACATTACCAAAGAGATCGAACTTACCGTATGGAAGAGGGTATAAGACAAATGACATAGCCTATCTTATCAATTTTGGATTTATTCTAGTAATCAATAATTTGACGTTAAAATGCCGAAAGATTTTCGGTTGTAAAAGAGAACTTCTTTCGCCGGAAGAAATTCCTGTAAAAGCATGGTCAATATTTACTAATTCGAGAGTGTAAAACACGAAAATGTTGGTTATTGATAGATTATGCGGGATTGGGACACAATAAATTAACACACTGTATTAACTCGTCAAGATTTATTCAATAAAGCACGTCACTCATCTCGCGTCTAGCGTCCAACACGTTTCATACAGGAATGTATCGCACACACGCCGCAACCGGCCTCGGACGAGATCTGCGGATGCGCACGATCTCGTTCCCCTCTGAGCTTACAGAGATATGTCCTATACTATAGATAATATTGTATTAGGACCAGGAGCTAGAGCCATATTCCAACACTCCCTCCCGACTGCTTCTGAGTCCTCCTCCATATAAGGCCATCATCAAGTTTACATACTCTTTTTCACTAAACAGACAGTAAGACAATGATTAGATATTTACATTCATTATTTTGTCAACTTGGCGCTTGTGAATAATAATTGAATCACCAAACAGTGATCCTTTGCAGTGATCCTTTGCAATCAGCAAAGCTAGCATCTGAATACGCTCCAATCACATCAGTCTCACCAGCATATCTCAGACGCAAAGCAGTAGTACCTCTCAAATACCTTAGTATTCTCTTCACCATTTTCCAATCCTCATCTGTTGGACTCACCTAATGTCTGCTCAACACATTAACCGCGTAGGAAATGTCTGGTCTAGTAGTAAATTTCCTCGTCAATCTCACCATTCAAAAACGCCGTTTTAACGTCCAATTGACATGTATCTAAGTTGTATTTATTGATAATGGCAAATACTGCCCTGACCAAGTTCATTCTGGATACTGGAGCATAAGTTTCTCTTAATTCGTAAACATTTCGATCTTTAAAACCTCGAATTACTAATCTTGCTTTATGACGTGTCTTGCCTGTCGCTTCTAACTTGCGTTTAAATATCCATCTCGAATCAATGATATTAGCTTTCTGAGAATTTTGATTACAGATAGGTCTGTCTACAATTTTCCATACATTATTTTTACTCATCGAATTTAATTCCTCTTCTACAGCAGCAGTCAATTTATTCTTTTCTACTCCCTGCATGGCATCTTTAAAATTGATTGGATCAGAATTGATATCAGCAAAAAAAGCGTGACATACCTCGTCAGTTGAATAGTCCAGACCTAACTCACCCTCACCCTGTGATAAGCACGCCAAAAATAATCCAGAACTTGAACTCGCGTCGATCGGTAATTTTGTAAGGTTTGATTCTTGCGGCCTTTCACTGGTCGGTTCATCGACCTCTTTTATCTCTGACTTTGGAGTCACCTTTCTCGGCCTACCCCTTTTTCTCTTCCCTACTCCCTCCGATTTGAATATCTCATCAATATTGCTTGAACCCTTGTCAAAACCTACAAACCACTCCTCCTTGTTTATCACTTCTTGAACTTCTGGGGCATCTTTGACCTCACTTCTCTTGTACTTATCACCATAGACCTTTTTCTCATTGAACCTGACATGTCTTTCATAGAATTTGCCTTCTTCTGGTTTCAGCAATATGTATCCTGTTGGAGTGTAACCAATCAGAACACCTCTCACACCTATTGCTCTAAATTTAGGTCCTACTTCTCTCTGAACTTTCATGTACGCCAAACAGCCAAATCTCTATCTGATTAATATCAAAGCTATGTTTCGGTGTAAACTCTTCTAATGGAGTTTTTATTTCATTAGATTTGTGAGGAGTTCGATTGTACGCGTATACAGCGGCAGACAGAGCCAGATCCCACATGGTTTCTGGTGGTTTCGCGTCAAACATGTACGTACGGACCTTTTTCTGGATTGTCTGGTTGTATCTTTCCGAGACGCCATTATGTTCCGGAGTGTCAGGACTCGCCAGTTGTAATTCCGCGCCTAATCTTTTCAATACCTCAACTGTATGTCCTCCGGTAAATTCTGTCCCCTGATCTGACCTAAGATAACAGACCTTCGCATCGTATCCCAACAAGTTTCTACAACTCCTGACAAACATTTCAAAACACCGACCTGTTTCACTCTTCGCTCTCATCGGGTATGCCATTGCAAATCTCGATTTATCATCAATGAAGACTGATATAAACCTGTATCCTTTCGGATATGTGGTTGGAGATATTGGCCCCATTACGTCAGAGTGTATTACTTGCAAAGGTTCTGTTGCTCGACGTCTTATCTTTGGGAATGGCAATCTGTTGAATTTAGAAGCTAAACAAACCTCACACTCCATTATTGACTCGTCAAAAATCACGTCTCTTAATTCTTTGTTATCCGGGAATTTCAATTGAATTGCTTTGAGATATGCTATTGAAGCATGACCAAACCTAGCGTGCCACAGTCATGCTTTAGTATGATTACTACGAAGTGTATCTTTTTTTTCTCTCTAGGGCCTCTCGATATTCGATCGAAATATTTTTTTTATGATAGAGGATGTCCTTATATGATTTGAAAAAAATACGCCATAATGGAAGAGCGAAGTAATGCACCGGAAACAATTTTTTTTTTCGCAATTTTTGGGTTTTTCAGTTTTTAGGGGAGATCCATCGGTTTTTTTTAAAGAAATAAGTCTGTCAATCATTATTCTTTGTTCATATATGATGACATATAAGACTACACCATCATGTAACAGAGAAAGAGTGCGCCGAAAAAAAAATTTTTCGTCGAAATTTTTACTGGAAGGGTAGATAGTTGAATTGAACATTATCATCCTCAAGTTTGCCGAATTATGATCAAACAAATGAGAGGAAGAAACAAACGGAATCAATTAATTGATTTATCATCATCAGTCGGTTCCAAGGGTTTAATTCTAGAGAAAAACCTCAATTTCTCGATTGATTTTTTATCACCAAACGATTCTGTGTGGATGGATTATCGAGCTCCTATCTTATTCTATTCTTGCAACGAGGTAAGGAATTTTCACGTTGATTATATAGAAATGATCTTTATTCTCGGAATTGATATCTTCGGATTGTATAGAATGCCGCGGAGTGATAGATGTGCGAATCCAATGCCAGGAATGAAAGATAAAATATCCATCAAGATCAATGGAGAGAAGAAAGTAGAGCAAAAGCGAATGAAACTCGAAAATCTAAAAGTCCTTCATCGGAAGTACAAACATGCGAATGAAGATGCTAAAGTCGGTTTCAGCAAGTTTGCCGAGCTGAGACCTAAAGAATGTGTAGTGGCAGGAGCAAATGGCACTCACGTGGTATGTGTTTCCACGTCTCATCAAAATTGCAAATTGATGCTAGAGGCAATTAACATTGTGACTCTAACTCAAAATTCCCCCTGTCCACTCAGAGATTACAAAGATTGTCTAGCAAAGTTGATGTATACAAATCCAACCCCGGTCTGTCATCTGGATGAATGTAACGATTGTCCTGGAGTGAAATCATTATCATGTGAACTGAAGAAACTTCTCTCTGATTCTGTCGTGGAAATGGTCGAATTGCGCGTGTGGCAAAGTACAGGTGTACCTTGCAGTCACAGACCCTCCCGATGGATGAATTCATTGATCTTCTAATGGAACGATTGATAGTATTGAAGCCCCATCACTTCATCGCTAAAGAACAATCGGCTTTTGTCAAACAGCGAAAAGCGAATTTGGATAATGGAGAACGGCAGGCTTGTACACCTGCACATATGGAATGAACACGGGGACATACTACACATTTTCATAAACACGTACAATTCTACATGAGATTCCCAATGACGTTCCAGTTTCATCGGAGTACACATGATTTTTCCCACTAATTTATTTACACGATTAATCTAACATACATTGATAGAACACGAGAAGCCCATTCACGTGGATAGTGCACAGTTTTTCTTCCAATTAAACACAAATGTTCATGCGCGATGGAATATGCACCGCTAAACTATTCACCAGGCTATTTTACCTTCAAAATTACTCAAAATAATTCTCCACAGCCAAAATGACTCCAAATTATCTATCACATGATGCTGGGAATTCTCCACCGTATTCATAAAAACATTCACAAACTGTTGGAACAGCAGCTAAATCTGCACTCACGACAGTTGAGGGTTATATTTGGAAATGATTCAATAATCCCACAACTCCATGATTCCTTATTTATTAATTCATCAGTTAATTAATTTTTATTATTGATTAATTAATTATCATTATTTATTAACTTATTAATCTCGTTAGGCCAGGTCATTTAAGAAAGAATACAAACTCATAGGGTTAGACCAGTATTAGCTGAAATGAGGCTGAAGGATAAATAAAAAAATACTATTTTAATTCTTTTAGCTTCATTATAGAGAATTTTATGATCTAAAAATATTAATTCCGGACATTTTCATGAATCCATCAGTTTAGGGGTTATAGACAGAATTATTTCAAATATTTCAATTAATAAGGAAGGCGATTTGGATATTATACTGACAATATCTTCGACAAAAACAAATTGAGCGAAAAAAGTTATGGAAGATTTTTTACTGGAAATTTTATGGTCTTTAAAAAATGTTTATTGACATTTTTTCCCAATCCTACTAGCTTCAAAGATAATTACAAAAATGTATAAAAAATCGATGGGAATAATGCTGAGAAGAAGTAAATTTCCAGACATTTCAATATTCATTCTGATATTCTTCTCTGAATATTTTAAAAAATTACAAATTATGGCATCCGTCAATCAACACATCAAGCAGATTCTATAGAGGATTTCCACAGGTTCATTGAACATTTTTTTAATAGAAAATTTACTCTTTTCTTCTTATTTTGGTGCAACCGAGCTTTGGAGATTTTAAGGAGAAAATTACAACAGAATAATGATAATAATAATAATAACAG